TCCAGTGTCAAAGGACTGTGATACTGTGTTCAAACATCAACATGTGGAGATGACTATTGGTTTCTAGTCTGCACTAGCATACTATGCAAATATAACTATAGCTTTCAATAAGTTATATTCAGTTATTTTAATGAAGTATTTCTATCCTGCCTTTCCATTAGAACACTCAAGATAAAAGAAGACAAATATTTTTTGAAAGCACACACCCATAATAAAAGAGAGTTTGAAAAGATCAGCATGCAAACACTGTATAGAGAAACTCAAAGTCTAAGTTATCTAAACAGCAATTCAACAGATCCAGTATCTACCAAAAGAACTGGCAGAAGATCTTTGAATATGTAGTAAGAAGGACTTCCCTCAAAAGGAGTACTCAGATATTGGCAGGAGAGGGAAACCATCTCCAGTGGAATTTGGTCGACAAGCAGGGATTAGGAAAATCATGAAATTGTGAACTCGCCGGCCAAATGAGTTGGAAGGGACTTCCATCTGGTCTCCCTTGCTCAGTGCGGGAATCTAGAACACCCTGCCAAGTGGCCACCTGGGCCCATTTGAAAACCTCCAGTAAGAGGGAGTCCATCACTGCTCTGTTAAGCAGACTGTTACCATCAAGACATTTTTGCTAATATTCAGCTTGAATCTCTTTTTACTTTCAACCCATTGGTCTTTGTTCTCTGCTCAGTGTCAGCAAGAAAGGTCTCCCCTCTTTTGCATGTGACAGCCTTACAGATATTTGTAGATTGTTGTTATACCTCAGCTGTTTCTCATAGGGCCTGGGTTATCAGCCTGATGGCTCTCTCTGAATCCACTCCAGCTTCTCTATGTCCCCTTTAAAGCACAGTGCCCAGAATGGGACAAAGTATGCTGAGTGCAGCCTAACCATGCAGAGAGCAATTGAACTATTACCTCCAGTGATCTGGAAGTCATGTTCCGTTAATGTAGTCCAAACATTGCATTAACTTATAGCAACCTCTGTTATACTGCTTGCTCAATTGAAGAGACAATTCTACTAGATAGCCTAGTCTTAAATTCTGCAGCTTTTTGAAATAGATCCAGAAATAGATCTTAGGTCAACCACATAGATCCAAAAGAGAAAGTGGATTGCCTCAGGTCCCCCAAGGAGTTCTGTGGTAGTGGGAAACTTCATGCCTCACTGTTCATTGTTAAGGCATCAGGCATCCTCCTATGCACTTTCAAGCCAAACATTATTAAGAGAGAATGCATTAGGAGGGAAGAATGCAAGCCCTAATGGACTTAGTTAAGAAGAAAGCTTCTGCCTGGCTTCTCCTGGGATTTTCCAAGATATCTGGAACAAGACAATTAAACTGAGGAAACTAAGAGAAAAACAGTGAGAATGGACACTGCCCTATTTCCAGATTGCTCCACCAGCCTCCCCTCTGAAAACGGACTTGCTCATCAGCACACTGCAGCTAGATTCACACACCTGATCTGAGTGTGTCTCAGGAGACCAATATGGCTAGATTCCTAGATCATCCTAAGCCAGAATGTCATTATTTTGGCCCAATTTGCTTCAACTGGAAACTATTCCCCTTTGCATTTTCGGCAGGTTTAGTAGGATTGTAAAGGACAAAATAGATACTAAGTATAAGATCTCCATTATGTTCCTTAAACTGTCAAAGATCTAAAGAACACTGGTTTGCAGAAGGTGGTGTTACTGCAGAACCAAACTTCCTCAAACCCCTACATAATATAATAGAACAAGTAATAACTATTATGGACATAATGAATATTAATATATGGATCACTCCTGTCTTGCCTTGGATTTGAAGGTCACATGGAAGCATCTGATTATTGGCTGGCCTTTGAAACTCCTTACTTGATTCCTTCTCTGTATTTTTCAGATGGCCTGTCTTGTTTCTTCTTCCCTCGTGCTACTCTGTTTCTTCAGTCTGCCTACCCTATGATTTCCCTTGAGCCTGCTTAGTCTGGCCTTCCTGTTCCTGAATGCCCTGTCATTACCCCACCCAGACTTATTTCTTGGTCTCTGAGCCAGCTGGACCACCATGGCATCACACCTTGCTCTGACACTGGTGGTCATGGGTATATCTGAAGGAATGACCAGGCTCCTACTGGACTGAGCGGCAATGCAATTTTTCCAGATTTAGTGGGAGATTTAGGGCTCTTCCTCACCTCCTCCTAACTTCAGCAAAAAGTCACCCTGATAACAGTTTCCATGCCACATCCTCATGAAGTTGCCTTTGTCTCATCCCCCACTTACAGCTGAGACAGCAGAAAGACATCTTTTCCATTCAATTTTTAAAGAGGTGTTTCCCTTGCCCTCCTGATACGGTATTTGCCACAGCATGATCTGGCACGCTTCATTGGTGATGTAGTTGCTAATGTGGTCAAGAGTGAGATCTGCCAGCATCTATTAGCCACTTTGGGTTGCTGTGGGCACAACCTCTCCCTTGCGGTTGTTGGGAACTGCTGTTTTGGCTTGGCCTAGACACCTGGCTTCCCCAGAGGCCTCTGCCCATGTGCCCATCTGTCTGACACTTTCCAAAGCATCTGAAGATTCTTATGCAGGCTTCTTCTATGCACAGGTTTTCAAACACAATTCTGTACTGCACAAAGGTCCATTGAAACTGGGCTCTGCCAGCTATGTGTTCCTGGTTCAGTAACCACTGGGTGCACAATAAGATCTTTGCTGCTTCTGCTAAGAAGTGGCTTCATGTGGCCGTCATTTTTACTGATTTTATTCCTTTGGGGAGGGCTCACCATTCTGTCTCCTCCATTCCAGATCCCTGGCTGTCTGCAGCCTACTTCTGAATGTGGCAGCCATGAGAATGGAATAGGACTCACTGCCAGCACCACCAGCCCTTTGTGGTATTTGTCAAGGCTGGTGCTTGCTCATTATCAATCACTCCTTCCTTCTTCACCACACATCCCATCTCTGCACCTGTGACATGCCAGGTGGGCTATTTTTTTTTTTTTACATGGGTTTAGTGTTCTTTTGAAAGAGTGTTAGACCCATGCTTGGAAATAGCTTGACAGACCATAGGACTGGAGCATTTCTGGGCCTGTGATCTGTTAGTTGGGCAACTTGACTGGCGGCTAAACAAGCTGTTCCAAGAACCCACCAACATTCACACAATCCCACCTCACCCCTCATTAGGGAGAATGCTGGTTATTTTCCCATCAGCAGTTGCCGCTTGGTCGTAGAGGAAAGGAAGGAAGGATCAACCAGTCACTTTCTTTAACTGGTCCCACACTTAAACAGCAGAGGCAATCCCAGTTGTTGGCCTCATTACTGTAGCAGGATAGGGCTTGGCAATCAGGGTAACAAATGTTCTGCTGGTGCAAGGACTGATGTGTAGCACTTTAACATGGCCATCTGGCTGTACCCTTAGGGGACTTTTTTGAAATCCATCTACTCAGTTTATTTTAAGCCGTTCACTATCAATTTCACGTTCCCTGACTCAAAGTGGAAAATACCTTGCTGAATTTCAGTGACTGAAATTTAATAGCATTGGTCAAAGTGGATGATTTGTTAATATTACATCCAACTATTAACAAAGATTACTTCCTGTTAACAAGTGGTCAGATCTGTAATCTAAAAAGGATGTTGCTGTATAGGTCAAAAATCCTTCGTCTTCATGGCTGAATTAAAATGCTATCTACAAGTCCTTGAACCAGCAGAAAACTATACTGGTGTAAAATTTGCTATTCTCCTGGTGATCCTATAATGTTGTTTTGGGCAACTGGAGAATCCAACCCTTTCAAACCAATGTCTCCCCCTCTTATATACCTTATTTATGGTATATAAAATGTGTTTAGGACAGGAATTGGTGGATTCCTTCAGCTTTGTTTCCCCCCCATTCACATCAAACATCACCATCCAGCAGGAAAACATTCACTGGTCACTCTCTTTAACATGGGATGGAGAAGGGGAAGGAAAGTTGTTCTGACAGATGGTTAAACTTGTTTTGCACAAGTGTTTTATGTGGGTGTGTTCAAAAAGTCTGCAATCAGTTGATAGTCTCCTTTTGAACATGGGTTTGGCACTAACCCAGAAGAGCTCTAAATCCATAATCAAAAGAAACCCAAATAATCCATAAAGCAGTAAAAAACAACTTGAGTCTCTTCTGCTTAAATATGCAGCCGCACCCCTGCCACCTCTGATCCAGTTCTTTGAACTGCTTGGCCCAGAGACTTGGCAGGGGGAGGGGGAGACATTGGTTTGAAAGGGTTGGATTCTCCAGTTGCCCAAAGCAAGATGCCCCTGGAAGACAAGGCTGAGAGATTGGAGGGGAGGAAGTGTGTCCCCAGTGGCCCTACCCTACCTCTTGGGGTCACTTGACTGCACCACTGATTGAAGGATCCATGAGGTTCAACAGATTGTCTCCATGGCAAAACCTGTGTTGGGATAAGGGGAAAAATACACTCGTACTGCTAAGGACACCTTAAGGCTGCCTCAGGTATGGGCTGATTATTATGTTTAGGCAACATGTTTTTGCTGTAGTTAAATGTAAGTGAGGAGAAGTTCACAGATTCAGCAATAATTACTGGCTGCGAGACGTCAAGCAACAAGCACTTATTCATGGATGTGTTGGAATGCTCCCATTCCACGTCACCCTGGCTGTGCTGGTTAATGACCACAATAAAGTCTTTCATTTCATTTCATTTCATTTCATTTCATTTCATTTCATTTCTCCGTGCTTTCCAAGTCTCCATGGTGGAAACAGCACTCTTGATCACAAGATACCATTTCTGAACAGGATGCTTCAAGGAAAATCAAGCAAGACATCAATTCACAAGCCATTTGTGAATAACCTGATTTTAGTTCTGCTATAAAGAACCACCTTTGCCTTTACTTTGGGTTTCCTATTCCCACATCCAACCTTCTGCCATCATTATGCCATACTGGCTGTAGCAGAATTATCTCTGAATCTTCCAAAGCAGCTCAGTGAAAAAAATACTCTGAGAGCAGGTTAATAAAACAGGCAAATAGTAAATTTCAGAAGCAAATACGATCTGCAGGACAAAGTGGAACAGTTTCTTTTTATTTTATCATCTGAGATATTTTGACTTCTGTGGAGCCTGTCATCCTTACTCTCAAGCCATTTTCCAAAATCACATTTCTTTCCATTGTAAATACAATTTCATAAGAAAAAGAAAGAAAAAAAAAGGACTCTTGACAGTGTGAATGGATGACTATCCTGATGATCAACCACAGCTCTAGTCAAATTCTTCCATAGATTGAAATATTTTAAAAATTAATTTCATTAGAATGGGTGTTACCTTTTACACTGGAAAGAATTTGAGAAGCCCAGTTTTGGGCCATGATAAAACATGTCAGAATGCATCCAGATGGAATCCAGCATCAAAGGCCTTGGGGATTTCCCCCCAAATAGGCTTTGCATATGCAGAGAGACAAAGACAGCGCCACCATCCTGCTATGCATGTCAAAGACTTACTGAATTCAGGAAGATTCTAAAATTGCCAGAATCTCCTAGTCCTGTTCAATTAATCACCACATTAATCAAATAAGGTCTTCATAATCTGTAACTGAAGCTGGAATATGGAACACAAATCTTGAAAATTAGGACCTGCAGAATTTATTTACTTTTGGAATGGAAACTGGTGATTCTACCCATTTCTCCTCTTCCTCTTATATTGTCAGCTGTGGTTTATAGCCATACAGAATAATTAAATTACATGATTTAAATTTAATACAAAGATGCACAAGATTTGCTCTGGGCTACCTACATCCAAATACAAGCATAGGAGGGATGTTTCAACAGCGGCCAAAAAAAGGAAGGATTTTCTAAAGCAATCTTCTCCAACCTGATTGCCGAAGTTCCCATCACTCCAGCAACATGCCCAAAACTCTTAATATGAAGGTAGGGGGTGACAGAAACTGTGTTTTGATACATGTGAAGGGACAACTAAGTTAGGAAAGGCTGCTGTAAAGGAATTCACACCATAGACTTTCACTGATAGCTGATTCCCCATTTAGTGCTAGGAGGGCTTGGTAACATAATGATAATTTTAAGCCAATGCAGAAGAATGCCTGGAATAATTTTTATGCTAGACCATCATCCCGAGTTCTGAACTGTACTAAAATGTGTATATTTGTGTTTGCGTGCAAGACTATGAAGGAAGCACTAACTAATCTAGCTATACATATAGCTGTAGATACTTCACATCATCCTCTTAAAAGAGATCCTCCAATGGGATACGAAGGAGAACAATATCCCCCTTGCTACAAACTCTGAGCCAAAGCAGCAGAGGAAGCGCCAACATCCTTTGGCAAGGCTGCCAGTGAAGCACTGCTAGAGCATTAAGGGGGTCAGGAAGTGTCTTCCTTATGGTGGTCCTCTTGTATCTGATTGTTTTAATTATCACAATGAGAATCAATAAATATATATTTTATAAAAATAGGCTCATTAAAAAATTAAACTATTGTTAAAAACTAACATTTCTTATTATGCTCCTGACAGAATAACCCTTTAGATGGACTCATACAGTCTTCAGGCCCTGATTCAGGACAGCAAGGAAGTTCCACTGAAACCCAGAACACTCCAGGTTTCTTCTTATCATGTATGAGCTACAACAGGGTCACACTACTGAGGCCTTCATAATTCACTGGAAAAGGGACTGAAGGGACAGGAAGGAATCTATGAAGCCATCCAAATGACACCAAGGTACAATTCAACATTCACTAAATACTTCTTTTAAGCTGAGTCTTCCCAGTCTGTTCTGCTGAAGTCAAAGTGTTCTTTAAAGTGACCAGGAATGAATCTAAGCCTATGTAGGGTCCATGATGTCAGCATTTCCTGGTAGAAAAAAAAAATAACTGAAGATAATTACCAAGAACAGGAGTCATTTAAATAGAACAAAACAGAGGTTTTGTTTTGGCTGTTGTCAGTTCTCCTGATAATGCCCACTAAATCTCTGGGCCTGGCACCCAAATGGAACTCAACCCCCTCAGCACAGCTCTTTGGGCTTTCAAGTCCTGGGTGGTATGAGAAACGTGGGCTCTTCTAGCAAGTTCTTCATTTCCCCATTAAGACATGATGTAGACCTCTGTTAAGCTAGCAACAGCATGCATCCGGTAGAAGATGCCGAAGGGCAAGCAGATATCCACAATGGCAGCCCACATGGGATAACCATAGAATTCAAGCTCTGTGGTGTTATCAAATTGTGGCCGGGCTCCGAACGCTGGCATAATCCAGAGCTGTTTGGGAAAGAGACAAAAAGAATAGCACTGTTAGCAAGAACAAGAAAGAAGGAGATGAACGAGGCACAATTCTTGATGCAAAGGATATCAGAGAGAGAAGGAACTCTCAAGCTGCTTAAACACAGGACAGCATGAGTCAAGAAACGATAACATCTAAGTATAAACATTTAACTGACATTATGCATCTGTGTCACTGAATCCTTTAAGGCAGTGGCCATGATCCAAGGCACCGTGGAATGCCCTGGAACAGGGTTTCTCAACCTTGGCAACTTTAAGAGGTATGGAATGCTGGCTGGGGAATTCGGGGAATTGAAGCCCACACATCTTAAAGTTGCCAAAGTTGAGAAACACTGCCCTAGAATTTTGTTAATTTTGCTCTGCTACAAGTAGCTGCACCTAATGGACAAAACCCAAACAATCTTGTTGCGCAGGGCCACTTCATGCCAGTATCCCACTACATGTCAGGAGTTCCCATTTCAAACTGAACGAGCAAATGGCTCTTTGTAGTGCTGGGCAGCTCCATTTCAGTCTACAAAGAGAGTCTCCACTCTGTGAAAGATACACATGTTTTGTTTTGTTTTGGTTTCATTTTTATACATTTTCTTGCAAGGATCCTGCCAGGCTTATGTGGTGGCGTTTCCACCACAGGAAGAGTATTACAACCCTGTCAGGGTAAAAATGAGGGATGATCCATTATATCTTGCCTTGAGCTCTCTAGAGAAAAGGCGGAATATAAATGCAAGAAATATGAAAGTCATTAATTTATTCAAACTATTTCAGGTGCAGTCAAATCTGTATGAAAGCAGGAAGTGCTGCAATGTATTCTTCCACAAGTCAAATTCAGCTTCTCCTTCCTTTGCAATGTGTTTTGGACAACAAACCCAATTTTTGTTTAGTACTCTGTCCTGTCTTTCCTCGTGCTTTGGGTGCTCCATCCTTTTACTTTGAAAAAAGGTGCCACATTTGTATTTATTTGTACCGCTTTTAAAAAGTTGAAAAACAGCTTGAGGAGGAGACAGATTTGCAGCTAATCTGCGTTCCACCAACTAGTTTCTCTTGAGATAAAGTCTATAGTACAAAGTTAAACAGACTCGAGGGGACATAATTCTACTGCAACCTAGTCAAATTATGCACAAATGTTACTCTCTTTAGAATGCTAGTTTTAAGAAGGCAAGGAAGAAATGGATGGCTGATCCTTGGCCTTTTCTTATACAGGCATCACCTATCACATTTTATGTTTTGCACTTTTCTTCCTCCCCTCTTTGTTATCCACCGGTGATGTGAAGCACAGTAGAGAAAACAATACAATATCACATGTCTGGCTTCCAGGAAGAAAGAAAAGAGAGATCAAGTAGTGGTAGCAACTCCATGTCTTTTGTATTTTCTAATTTGGTTTTCCTCAATCTAGTCCTCCCTTCATGTTTTACACTACAACTTCCATCATCCCTAGCTAGCTTGGCTGCTACTCTTGGGCATGCTTGCTGGGAGTTATGGGTATGTGTGTGAAGTTACAGTTAAGACAGTTCAATAAAGCCAGCAAAGTTTCATATTTCGGTGTGAGCATGCTTTGGGTAAGTAACAGGACTGAAGCTAGCTCTGGATGTGAAATAAGAGTGTCAAGCCATGCTTAACGTATTTTTCATGACTTCCTTATATCTTTTGCTATTCAACAACAAAGGAATTCTAATCATCTACATACTATACCTATCAAATAAAATTGTCTTACTTACAATTACATTACACAGGAGCAGGAATAATGAGCTTTCCTTTAAAAATCTCTTCCTCCAGCTCACTTTCTTGGAGATCCTGATAGAATGTGTTACTTCAGGGGAAGTCTGAACTGCTAGTCCTGGAGATGTTGTTGATGATAAAGCATTTCCATTCTCAGGGACACGGAGGGATACAGCATTTAAGTTGACAAAAGTGAGTCCATAAATATCTTTCTCCTGCTGGTCCAGTTTACTTTCCACTTTTAAGGGCTGTCGATGGAGACCTTCGATTATGAAAATGTTCTGGAAAGTGTGTTGGGCAATCATCAGCAAGGAATAGGTCAAGTTGAGGGCATTGATAGTATCCCTTGGTTTACTGGCCACAGTGGCCACAATAGAGTAGTAAGAAATGGCATATTGCCCTAAGGCTGCACCCATTAATAAGGCCACATCCAGAGTTCTAGTTGGGTTCTTCTCACGGTCCATGTCTCTCTTGTCAAATCTGTAAACAATGGAGCCACCCACGGAGATGATGGACATCAGGCTCAGGCAAACAATATTGAAAGTGTAATACATAGTGAGTACCTGATTCTTTATTTTATCTTTGTTTTTTGAATTGATCTGGATTTCATACACAATCAGGATTGCTATGCCAGTCACCATTATCAAGAGTCCCATTATGAAGCCCAAAAAGTAAGTCCTCTTGAAAAGCTTAAACTTGGGGTGATGGATATGGCTGACATGGTGGTCCATGATGCGGCCAACATTCTTCCACATTACGTAGATCATGGCAGAAGCAAAAAGGCTGTATTCAATATTGAAAGGATACAGCCAAAAGTAACCATTCTTGAAGATTTGGCAAAGGTTACTTTTGCAGCCACAGCTGTCAGAGGAGCTTCCTTTAAGGCCAACTGCAAAGAGAGAAGGATAGTATTTATCTTACGATGACTGTTTTATGAATTTTATTTAGATATTAGCCACCCACTCTGGAGCTAAGTGGTTAATAATAAGGAAATGAACAAATAAAGTATTTGTTTATTAAGGGTTCCTGAAGAAAAAAGCTCTACACTCCTTTATTTTTTTTTAACTTTACTGTTTTTGTTACTTGACATCTGTGTGATTGTGTCCATGTTTAATAAAGATCAATGCCGGGCAAGAGAAGAGAGAACCCAACTGAATCCTTGCAGCACTGAAAGACAGCTTTCCTCAACTTAGTGCCCTCTAGGTCAATTTGACCATCATTGTCATGTTTCTCAGTCAACTTACTCATTCTGTGTGAATTATTTGCATCTGGTTTTTTTGTTTCAGCCTTATGCACTGATTCATCTGTTACAGCAGACATCCACACTGCTAGATTGGTGGTCAAGATGAGCATCAACCCACATCTATAATAAAAGAATGGGGAATATTGGCTTAATGAATAAGCTTTATTCATTCCAAACATCCAACCCACTTTCTGAGACAGAGCAAAGCAACAATATTGATCAACCTTATGGAACTGTTACAAGGATAATAGTAACTTAATTCCAAAATGAGCCAGACTCTTCTGCTTGCAAATATTTCTCACACAGCTTCTTCCTTTTGGTAGAAATACCCCTCAGTTAGGCTGATAGAGCATCCCTATACTCCCCCCCCCATATGACATATTTGTTGTTGTTCAGTCGTTAAGTCGTGTCCGACTCTTCGTGACCCCATGAACCATATCGTGCCAGGCCTTCCTGTCCTTCACTGCCTCCCTGAGTT